CGGAATAGCGGTTCCCGGCACTTTATGCAAATGCCGACGTCATGACGTCGACGCTAGCCGTCGCGTCATAAAAGGGGGAGGAGCTAGCGCGGCCGGCGCGAAAACGGCCGAAATATGCCGAAATGCTAGGGGAAGGGAGCCCCTAAGCAGAGAGGATGTCCTCCCTGGATACATCACCAACAGGTACCCTGACAGATACCAACCTCCTAACCGACCGGTGACTTCTAACTCTCGCTATCCATGACAGTATGACAGCGAGCTACGTTGCTTCCGGTGCAAACAGCTGGGTCACATCCGACAGAATTGCCCCATGGACAACAACACCAGGTCAAATTGGTCTCGACCTGGGTACCACCAACCACCAGCAGCAGCCCATTGTGTAGACTCGACTTGGGATCCCAAGGAGCTGGGTCAGGAAGAACCATTGGGCACCCTTTACGAAGCCCTCATGGTACAATCCAACCTCACAGACAATCGGAAACACCATTGTCAACTGGTAATGGTTAACGGCAAGACAGCACGGGGATTAAGAGACAGTGGTGCAACCATCACGCTAGTGCAACGACATCTCATTAACGCATCGGAGAAGCCGGGGAAATCAATTGCTGTGAGAGTTGCAGGGGGGGCAGTGTATCGCATTCCTACCGCACAAGTACACCTGGACTGGGGTGCGGGAGCTGGCAATGTTCACGTGGGTGTTATGAAAGACTTACCCTCTGAAGTCCTGTTGGGCAATGACATTGGCCCCCTGACTTCGGTGTTCGCCTCAACCACCGCTCAGGAGGCCCACGCAGTAACCACCAGAGCACAAAGTCGCACTGCCGAGAGCCATCCGCTTCCTACTGAGACCCAGGTAAGCCAACCCGATCTACCCCTGACTATAGAACCCCTACCCTGGGACACCCCGGAAGACTTTGGGCGGGAGGTGACCGGGGACCCTTCCCTCAGAAAGTATCGAGAGAAAGCCAGGAGGGCAAAGGGGGCGTTAGAGAAGGAGCAGTTTATCTGGGAAAAAGGCCGCTTGTACAGGCTCACTGAGACACGGGTTAACGCACCTGGGCCTAGGCAAAAACGCCAGCTGGTAGTTCCACAGAAATACCGGCGGGAGTTATTAAGAATTGGGCATAACGTTCCTCTGCCAGGACACTTGGGAATACGCAGGATGGGATATCAGGTAACCCAGAACTTTTTCTGGCCTGGGGTATCCGACGACGTCCGGGCGTATTGCCAGACATGCGAGATATGTCAACGCATAGGTAAAAAGGGAGACCACCCAAAGGCTAAACTGGTCTCCATGCCCATAATTGAAGAACCGTTCACGAGGGTAGCCGTGGACATCATAGGACCCCTGGCCCAACCTAGCCATTCCGGCAAACGTTATATCCTCACAGTGGTAGATTATGCCACCCGTTACCCCGAAGCTGGGGCCCTTTCTTACATACAGGCTGAGACGGTGGCAGATGCGCTAGTCAGGATATTCTCCCGAGTGGGCATTCCCAAGGAGGTTCTGTCCGACCAAGGTACGCAGTTCACGGCCGAGGTAACCCAGCAGATATGGAAAGTCTGTGGAGTTAAATCCCTGACTAGTTCCCCATACCACCCCCAGACAAATGGCCTGTGCGAACGCTTCAACTGGACGCTAAAGCAAATGTTGAAGTCGTTCATGGGGGTGTACAAGGATTGGGAGCGATTCCTGCCACACCTTCTCTTTGCCTACCGAGAGGTGCCGCAGGAATCGACCGGATTCTCACCCTTCAAACTTCTCTATGGGAGGCGAGTAAGGGGGCCCTTAGATATTATCAAGGATCACTGGGAGAGGATGACAGAGATTGAGGGGACCCCGGTTGTACCTTATGTGCTGGAACTGCGGGACCGCATGGAGGAATTAGCCCAGGCGGTGCAGGAAAACCTCCAGGCGGCCCAGCAGCGCCAGAAGGTATGGTATGACCGACGGGCTAGGCACCGGAGATTTCAGATCGGCCAAAAAGTCATGGTGCTAAGACCGATCCGAACAGACAAGCTCCAGGCCGCCTGGCAGGGCTCCTATAAAGTTATAGGGCAGATATGCGACACTACCTACACCATAGCTAGCTGCGAGGATGAGGATGTGAAACAAACCTTTCACATCAACATGATTAAGGCCTATCAGGAATGGGCAGAGGAGGTGACCGCTATCTGTGCACCAGCAGGGGAAGACACAGAGACACTACCTCTTCTCGACCTATTGGGCAGTAACAAAGGGATGACCCAGATAGAGAAAGTCCAGCTAGGCGAACAGCTGGAACCACAAGAGAGGGCTCAAGCTGTCCGCTTGCTAGAAACCAAACAGACCCCATTCTCTCAGGAGCCTGGGTACACAATCCTAGCCATCCACAAGGTGGAGACTCCAGGGAAGCACCCCTGAGGCAGCCCCCTTACCGTATTCCGGAAGCAGTCCGAGAAGGGATGCGGAAGGAAATCGATGAGATGCTTCGGCTAGGGGTAATAGAACACTCAAAAAGTCCTTGAGCCTCGCCGGTAGTCCTAGTACCAAAGAAGGATGGGACAACCTGCTTCTGTGTGGATAATCGGCGACTCAACGACAAGACAGTTACTGACGCCTATCCAATGCCACAGATGGACGAACTGCTTGACCGTATCTCTGCAGGGAAGTATCTGACCACAATTGACCTATGTAAGGGATATTGGCAGATTCCCCTAGCAGAAGATGCCATACCCAAGTCTGCCTTCATCACCCCGTTCGGCCTATACCAATTCTGGGTTATACCATTCGGGATGAAGAACGCCCCGGCCACCTTCCAACGGATGGTGGATCATTTACTGGGAGGTCTCCAGGACTACGCGTGCGCTTACCTGGATGACATCGCCATCCATAGCGATACCTGGAAAGCGCACCTAGAACACATAGGGGTAGTATTAGATAGGATCAGGGGGCCGGGCTGACCCTGAAACCAGACAAATGTCATTTGGGTATGGCGGAGGTACAATATTTGGGCCACCGAGTAGGATGTGGTAAGCAACGGCCGGAGCCGGCTAAGATCGAGGCCGTTGCCAATTGGCCCACTCCCCACTCCCCACACCAAGACACAAGTCATGGCTTTCTTGGGCACAGCCAGCTATTACAGGTGCTTTGTACCAGACTATAGCACCCTGGCCAAACCCTTGACCGACCTGACCAAAAAGAAGTTACCCCGACAAGTCCTGTGGTCCCCGGAATGCGAGGTGGCTTTCCAAGCACTAAAGAATGCTCTCGTTAATGCTCCGGTGTTGGTCACCCCATATCCTAACAAAAGATTTATTGTCCACACAGACGCTTCAATGTTTGGACTCGGGGCAGTACTAAGCCAGATCGGAGAGGATGGAGGAGAGCACCCGGTGGCATACCTGAGTCGGAAGCTGTTGCCAAAGGAGGTCAGTTATGCCACTATTGAGAAAGAGTGTTTGGCCTTGGTATGGGCACTCAAAAAGCTCACACCTTACCTCTATGGCCGGGCCTTCACCCTCATCACCGATCACAATCCCCTGGTTTGGCTCAACCGGGTTTCAGGGGATAACACCCGTTTGCTGCGCTGCAGCCTGGCTTTACAGCCCTATGACTTCACGATCCAGGCAAGCAAAACGTGAATGCTGATGGACTGTCACGCCAAACTGACCTGGCCTCAGATTAACAACTTTGGAAAGTCCCGTCAACCCTACTGGACCAGGAAAGGTCCAACCGAGTTGCCGGAGCAGGGAGAAAAAGGGGGGCCTTTGTGAAGGATTTTCATGTATTTACCTGTGTGTCTTCAGTTAAATCTTCTCCCTGCTGTTTAAATGCCTGTATCAGTTCGTTTCAATATGTATGGAATGAATGTATTCGTTTACCGAACGGAGACCACACACCCTGGGTAGCAATCAGCATTAGAACGCAGAGAAAACCGCGACTTAATTGCTACTAGGTGGCCGCCATTCGACATACGAACATGTGGAGAGAACAAAGGATGGCGGCCATCTTAAAACTCCCGAATGCGGTCAGCGGGGCTTACGCATGAATTGCCTGGAACTCATTTCGGCACGGCAAACATGCGAACGCCCGGTCCCCATGGAAGTCCTGCATTAATACGTTCCCCTCCACGAATCAAACTGGCGTTCGGTAGTTAGAATCTACCGAATGAGGGGAACATTCACATGTAACCAACTGCACCATACGAACGGTGGTTTTCGTGTAGTTAGATGTGAACGGAGACCGGCTCTTGCTACTGATTCTATGGAACTCTAGATCGGATACCTCCACATGGCGAGCCGGTCAAACTTCAACACGATGCGACACGGAAACTACCGAACGGAAATTCGTGAGATTTGGATATATGACTACCAGTATCCTCAGCTACCCAGGGATGTTGAAATTATGTTTGTATGTTGCATAGAAAGTACTTTTCTGAAATTGTTAAAAACTGTAATATTTCTGGCCAGCAGATAATTGAGCTTTGTGTATTGTAGAAACTCAATTATCTAGCCTGACCTAGAGGAGGAGTTTTGTGTTGCATAAATTGTGAGTTCTGTGTGCCAGTAAATTAGTCTTGTTCCAGCATTAAGCTTTGGCTCATGTGTGAATTATTCGGCGATTCCAGGGATCTTTCTTCTGTAGAATATTGGGTGATTTTCTTTTATGGGAAGAAGGGAATGCTTGACGGTGATACCCTATACTACCGTCACATATATTTATATATGTATATATATATATATATATATATATATTTATAATCAGGTAGTATGGCTGCACTCACGGATTTTCAATAAAAATTAACTTTTATTCCAGATACTATTAAAACAGATCAACGTTTCAGTCCATCTTGTGGACTTTCATCAGGATCAAAAATACATAAATAAAAAACATATCATATATAAAGGATGCAATAATTGTAATATTAGTGAATTAACTCACCCCAGGTGCTGTTCGTGAGGAAACCGGTGTTCTTCCCACTAGAGTGTGCATGCGTGGCATAAGCAGCGCCTATTTATGTGACGTCACCATGTGACGCTACAGTCGTTGCCATGGTGACGCGTACAACAAAAGCGACCACCATGGCAGCGTGTTGTACCGCGTCACCATGGCAACGACGGTAGCATCACGTGGTGACGTCACGTAAATAGGCGGGGCTTATGCCGTGCACGCGCACTCTAGTGGGAAGAACGCCGGTTTCCTCACGAACAGCACCTTGGGTGAGTTAATTCACTAATATTACAATTATTGCATCCTTTATATTTGATATGTTTTTTTTAATGTATTTTTGATCCTGATGAAAGTCCACAAGATGGACTGAAACGTTGATCTGTTTTAATAGTATCTGGAATAAAAGTAAATTTTTATTGAAAATTTGTGAGTGCAGCCATACTACCTGATTATATGGATACTCAAGCCCTGGTAATGCACCCGGTTCGGAAAATGGATTCATACTTCCCGTAATTTTCTTTACCTGGCTTTAACGTCCAGTTTGTAATGTCGGACAAAAGTGTTCAGAGAGATCCAAGGGCCAGCTTTACAAATACTGTCAGGAGAGTCATTTTCCACAGAAGCCCAAGATGCTGCAACTGTACGAGTGGAGTGTGCCTTGATACCCATCTGTACAAGTAGAGAATGGCATCGATAAGCCTTCAAGATGGCTGTTTCCACTGTCTGTGGTCAAATGGGAGAACAAAAAGTCTAGAAGACGTATGGAAAGAGGTGTTTTTTTCAATATAGAGGGAGAGAGCTCTAACCACATCCAGAGTATACCAAGTCTGTACTTCCAAAGAGGAAGGATAAGGGTAGAATGTAACACAATTTCCTAGTTAAATTTTGAACTTGAAGGTCATCTTAGGCCGAAACTCTGGTACTGGGTGCAGGAGAACCATATCCTGTTGATAATTAGTGAATGGGGTTCACAGGACAAAGCCTGGAGTTCACACATTCTTCTTGCTGAGGTGATAGCCACCAGTAACAACACTTTCTTTGCTAACAACACAATGAAAGCTCCCTCTAGACGTTCAAATGGTGGTTTAGTCAGAGCCTGCAAGACCAGAGTTGGGTCCTATGTTGACATGAACACCTTCAGAAGAGGCCAGAGTTTAATCACTGCTGTCATGAAGCAAACGAGCAGTGGCTCTAATGTCCAACAGGTTTCCGGCAATGGAGAAAGTGCCGATATGTGCACCTTTAGAGTGTTATAACTCAGACCCTTTTTGTAGGCATGAATAAAGGCAGCTCGTAATAGTTGACAAGGTTGGAGGAGATATTACAACCCTCTGTTCTTGAGACCAAGAGACAAATGCATGTCAGATTTTGTAATAAGTGGAGGAAGTAGAGTATTTGCAACACTGTCTTAATGAACGTCTCAGGGATGCCTTTACCTTTTAGAGACCATCGCTCAACTTCCAGACCATCAATTCCAGAGCTTGAGGATCTAGGTTTGTCAAAGGACCTTGTAATAATAGGTCTGGACTGACTGGAAGTCCCCTCTGATGTTCTAACTCATCCATTTTGCCATAGATAAATGGGGTCAACATGGCCAGAAGGGAAATATCGCAATGACTTCTCTTCTTCTGAATTTTCTTTAGGGCTGCTGAAACTAGAGGAACAGGAGGGGATATGTATGCCAGACTGAGATTCTAAATTTGGGTCAGAACATGCTGACATTGAGCCTTCTGGTTGTAAAACCAGAAAAATACTTATCACTTACCTGGTTGTTCCAAAAAGTGTCCCCCAAATCTTAATCAACCTCGAGAATACTTCAGAACATTGTTGCCAACCTATGTTGTTCACTGTTACTTGGCTCAGATAATCTGCAATCGTATTCTGAACCCCCGTAGATGGAATTCAGTTAAACCCTAAATGTCCTTCTGTGACCTGATAATCAAGGGGTTCAATTCCTTTATCAACAAGTTGCTGTGTGTCCCACCTTGATGATTAATACAGGATACAGCCACATTGTTGTCCAAGCGAAATCGGACCCTCTTGTTCTTCAGCAATCATATGAAGTGTAGAAAAGCCTTGAGGATGGCTTGTAAATCCAGAATATTTAATGGTAGAATTGCCTTCTCCCTTGTCCACAGACCTTTTGTAACTTGGTCCAGGCAATGCTCACCGCATCCTCAAGAACTATCCAGTGAGGTTCAATCATATTTGAAAAAAGGCTTATGTGGTGGAATTTTCAAAGTATTAAAATACAAAAGATTAAGATTATCACAGTTGTAATTTGAGGTTAGCTGAGCAGATGGTTTATCCTAGTTATCTTACCAAGTCTACACTTAATTCAGGACCAAAACCACATAAAAAAGTTGGGAATCTAATTATTTAAATCACACGTTTTTTCTTCAAACATATTCATTTGCATCCTTTTGTTCTAACATAATGGAGAGCAAATTCATCGCCCATTGTTATTTTGCACATGTGTAAAAAAAAATATTATACAGAATCAAGGCTATACCTAAAATAATAATCAAATGTTTTTTGCCCCTACAACCTTAACACATATAATAAAACTAACATTTATCTACGAAAAGAAAAAAGGGAAGAATCGTCTCACAACCATGAGAATAAAGCCCCCTGGATATATAACAGTATCCTGACTGTGGTAGACAGCTACATAAGAAACAACTGTAACAACAAAGAAGTAACAAGAAGTAACTAATCAATTGTATATAGCAACATCCTAGCCTTATACAGTTATTCCTTTACCTCCCCCTACTGTGTTAATGACAATGTCACTGATGCCCACAACCGGCTTTATTATCAGTTGGGCTAAAATGAGCATAGTTAAGTAAAAGTCATCAGTATTGAGTTGCAAGATTCTGTCCACAGGAGGTTAAATCCACGGTGCTTGAGAAATAAAAAGTCTCAAGTAGCGTAAGGTACCAATGGTGATCTATCCATATATTCAAATTATTGTACACCAGGGGTTAAAACAACAAAAAATATGCCTATTAGTTCCTCATTGTACAGATAGTATTACCAAATAACATTTAAGGGACACTCCAGGCACCCAGACCACTTCTGCCCATTGGAGTGGTCTGGGTGCCAACACCCACTACCCTTAACCCTGCAACTGTAATTATTGCAGTTTTTATAAACTGCAATAATTACCTTGCACGGTTAACTCCTCCTCTAGTGGCTGCAACTAGAGGGCACTTCTGGGATTATAGCAAAGATTTTCTGTGCTATAGTGTCGCTGGAAGTGGTTAACTCCTACTCCAGTGGCTGCCACTAGAGGGAACTAGAGGGCACTTCTGGGAATATAGCACAGATTGTCTGTGCTATAGCATCGCTGGACACCCTCACGCTATGTGAGGACCTCCAGCGTCACTGAAATCCCCATAGGAAAGCATTGAAAGCATTTTCAATGCTTTACTATGGGGAGGTCTAATGCGCGTGCCTGGCATTGCCGCGCATGTGCATTAGGTCTCCCCCGCCAGCAGGCGTGATCAGTTTCCCTGGACGGCTGACGTGATTACGGGGAGGAGAGTGGGCGGACCAAGAAGCAGCGCCGAGGGACATCGTTGCTGCCTCTGGTAAGTCACTGAAGGGGTTTTGACTCCTTCAGCAACCGGGGATGGGAGGTGGGAGGGAGAGGGGACCTGCAGTGGCAGGAAAACGGATTGTTTTCCTGGCACTGGAGAGCCCTTTAAGGCAAAAAAACGCAGAGGACCGCCTGGGAAAAAAAACACAGGATAGAACAAGCCTCTCTACCTTTAGAATCTATCTAAAAAGGTAAATTAAATAATTAGAAAGTTAAAGGAATACTTACAAAGTCATCAAAAAGTAATATGACGTGCCCAAAAAAAGAGAAAATAATATTATCAAACGAGAGCTGCCTGACGCGCGTTTCGGTGCAGAGGTAGATGCACCTTCGTCAGGGGGAAAGAGAGTAATGGATTCTGTTCTCTTTATATAGGTGTACCCCACGTGTTTTCCCATGGTCAGAGCTAAATGCTTAGCCCTGGAGTCTAACAATATGGCCCTTCTGGACACCCTTGTCGATCTGCTCACTAAGAATGACATAGCTGATAACTACCAAGCACCTTTCACTAACTTTTTTTTATTCTTTATTTTTGTCGTGCACAGGTAATAACACAAGCTTGTCTTGCCACGACAGCAATGACAGGCATAAACATAATACAGCATTAATAAACAGTAGCGTGGCAGTCTAGATATTGGCATTTTTATTTTTTTTTGAGAATAGTTAACATGTTACTTATTATTTTATCTTTTGGGTTCAATCCTTAAGTATATGTTCTTGACATACAGGGAGTGCAGAATTATTAGGCAAGTTGTATTTTTGAGGATTAATTTTATTATTGAACAACAACCATGTTCTCAATGAACCCAAAAAACTCATTAATATCAAAGCTGAATATTTTTGGAAGTAGTTTTTAGTTTGTTTTTAGTTATAGCTATGTTAGGGGGATATCTGTGTGTGCAGGTGACTATTACTGTGCATAATTATTAGGCAACTTAACAAAAAACAAATATATACCCATTTCAATTATTTATTATTACCAGTGAAACCAATATAACATCTCAACATTCACAAATATACATTTCTGACATTCAAAAACAAAACAAAAACAAATCAGTGACCAATATAGCCACCTTTCTTTGCAAGGACACTCAAAAGCCTGCCATCCATGGATTCTGTCAGTGTTTTGATCTGTTCACCATCAACATTGCGTGCAGCAGCAACCACAGCCTCCCAGACACTGTTCAGAGAGGTGTACTGTTTTCCCTCCTTGTAAATCTCACATTTGATGATGGACCACAGGTTCTCAATGGGGTTCAGATCAGGTGAACAAGGAGGCCATGTCATTAGATTTTCTTCTTTTATACCCTTTCTTGCCAGCCACGCTGTGGAGTACTTGGACGCGTGTGATGGAGCATTGTCCTGCATGAAAATCATGTTTTTCTTGAAGGATGCAGACTTCTTCCTGTACCACTGCTTGAAGAAGGTGTCTTCCAGGAACTGGCAGTAGGACTGGGAGTTGAGCTTGACTCCATCCTCAACCCGAAAAGGCCCCACAAGCTCATCTTTGATGATACCAGCCCAAACCAGTACTCCACCTCCACCTTGCTGGCGTCTGAGTCGGACTGGAGCTCTCTGCCCTTTACCAATCC